AAAATTCTATTCTAGTTTTGTCACTTCTGAATGATTTCCAATTGATATTCTAATGCACTATTTTTTCCAGCCATTGTTAGATACTTGGTCATTTTAAATGCAGGTCTATAATCCTTTAGGTAGTTTATTAAGGCCATGTTTCATAAAAAATGCCAACAAAAAAAATTATATAATCAAAAAAAGAACAACCGACAAACCTATCTTTACTAAAAAACAATCAGCACCATACACATCTAATCAGTTTTTTTAATTGTTTTTAGTCGTTAATTTTTTACATTTTTCTATTAATTTTAACAAAAAACGTCCAATATATTATTATTAGCAAATAGGATTTTATAGCAATAACTTAGCATTCACCTTTTGGAAGTTAATAGCATATTGTCTTAAAAAATAGCACCCAGTATATTGTCTTAAAAATGTATATTTTTTGATTGACAGTCAACATTGGATGATTCATAGTTTTGGTTACATAATTGAATACATTAAGCAGTGTTTTGTAGTTAATAAATGGGAATTAATAATATTATAGATAAAAATAAAAGAAGGCACAAACTCACTATGAGTGTAACGATGCTGTATAAAGCCTTAAACTATTAAAATGATATGATAAAGTTGTGAAAAATTATTGGATAAAAAATAAATAAAATGAATTAGGAAAATATTATAAAATATTAGTAATAAAATTTCATATTTAATAGAATAATCACGAATGATGCAACAGAAATTGCTGGAGCAACTTTTTACAGGTGGGAACTAACAATCACAACAATTTACTTTCGAGTGATTAAGTATGTAGATAAGTAAACAAAAGGCGTGTATACGTGTATAATATATATATATATATATATATATATATATATATTCTTAAATGATAACATTGCAGATGGCGATCATTTAGAAACAATCAGTCACTATTAAACAAATTGTTATACTAACCAGTTAAAGTTTAGTTTTTGCCATAAACAGTGAACATGTTCAAGGAAATTTTTAATATTCTTTTATTTTTTGGAGTGTTGCATTCATGTAAGTTAAAAAATACTATTTTATATTAATACTATTTTATTACTTGTAAAATTTTTCTGCATAAGAAGCGTATGTCGATCATACATCTAGTATTATTGTGTACGTAAATAAACTTAACACCGCCTAAAAACTGGTCTTACTGTAATTATTTGATTCGTTAAATAAATTAATAATTAAAATAAAATTTAATGTGCTACCTAAATTGTATGTTTCATAATAATAACTACAGTCAACCCTCCGAGAACGCTGTGAGTGCGAACCGTGTAATATGCAAATCGCGAAGAAATTGAACTGACGAGTTCATATGAAGATCGGATAAAATTGAATTGAATAAAAAGTAAACTAGAATACTATTTTCCAATAAAAAAATCTAGAAATTTGTTTTAAAAACTCCTAATTCGTTTTTAACAGCTATGGCATAACATGGTGTGTTCATACAAACATATTGTAAAAATGATAAAATTTAAAAAAAAGTACAATACTCACTTATTAAACTCGATTATGAAGAATCCAAGCACTAACTCAATTAATACAACTAATATAATTGATTTCTCGGTCCC